CAGTGCTGCCAGAAGATGTTTCCACCTTGCTTTTAACATTTAAGTATTGCTACTTGTTCTCTGTCTCTCCAGGTTCTCAGCAGACCCATTGCAATCAAAATGTCCATTTCAAAAGCAGCATCTCTCACCTTCCTGACTTACGGATGACTTCACTGCAACACTTCTCAAGGATGTACTTCTCACAGTTTTGTTTCTCAGTGCTCTGGTGAAAAGTCAGTCCCCTGGCCCCCTTAGTGGGTTACTGGATTATATGTGAAATACCTACCCCGATAGTCCTTTCTCCTAAGTATTTGGATTCCTCCCCCTACGTTATACCGCAGGTTTCTGATACCTCAATTTCCTTCGACTAGGCCACCATTGAGTCCCATTTCCAGTCAATCAGTCAGGCTAAGAGTTACAACCATTCCCAGCTGCTCCGACTAGAACAATCCAGAATCTCTAGAAAATGTAACCACACCAATAAAGTAAGCCAGATTTAAAATTATGTTTCTTATTTTCTAGCCTAGATTCTCATAATTTATTCCCACATATATTCCCTAGGTTTTTGCTGATATAAGTGAGAAAATCTTGCCATTCCCTAGGTGTGTAAACTTTTGCCTCCTAAAATAGACATTGTACTTGTTCTTCTGAATTCATGATGGCGTTTGACTCTAGTAATAGATCTAGACCAATGAGTGATAGGAATTGTGGTAGGAGGAAAACTGGCACTCCCTTGCAAGGGAACTCCCTCAGCAAGGTCATTACAGAGTCTCTAAGAAAGGCTGGACCAGCCTCATCAAACATCATTGCCAGAGGAAATGCTTCTACTGGCAACGGAGGTTCAATGGAGTTTGGGGGATCTTCGTACTCAGGTTCAGTTGAACCCACTCAAATGGTCCCCATTCCTATGGCCTCACTCTCTCCCAATCAACACTCAAGCTTTCGCATAAGAGACCTAGTGATTCTGTGAGTTCAGATTCCCTTTTAATCAGCAACCCACAGGATCAGACTGCGTTTAATGTTAGAATGTATCAGCCCTGCAGCTACATGAAATAAATGATTCTTCTAGAAATTCATAGGCACTTCTTGTCCTCTGATCATGCCTTACAACAGTAACTTTAAAATCCTAAGCAGATCATTTTTTCTTTAAGTTCTCTAATGTAGGTGAAAACAGCCACCCAGCTCCACAGTGCTTGTATGCCTTATTCTCACCATAGTGGTCAGCAGGCACCCAGTGCACCAAAGCCTCGCCTGCACTGTACACTTCATTCCAAGTGACCCATATATTAAGTAGCGATTTCACCACTCCATGTCACGCACTGCCAGTATTCCATATTCTAATGCTAACATCACTGTTGCTCCTCTCAAGCCTAACCAAGTCAGAAAACATAAATCCAGATTTCCAATTTCTTTAGAGTCTGTTGCCTGTAACTCTCCTCTACCAGTCACAGTCATGGGCAGGGTTTAATTGCAGAGAACATAAGCCATCCTAGCAAATTGAAGCACGGAAGGGTTTATCACAGGGCATTAAAAAGCTCACTGAGTCATTGGGAGAGATGGCGAAACAGACCGAGGTTGAGATTTCAGAAATGACTCCCCAGACCATGTAGTCAAACTGGGTCACCAAGGGAGCTCTTGGTTATCCCAAGATTAGGAACCTGCCACCTTCTACACAGTATGACAGCCAAAGTCAGGAAGCCACCGCAATGTGGAGGCCCTCAGGGACAGGAAGCTGGCTCCGCTCCAAACCAGACATGCTTTAATCCTCACCTGCACGATGGGGTCCCTGTGACCCGGCTCTTGTCACCCACAAAGTTCTGCTAATGCTGCCGCAGAAAATGCAAATGCCTCTACAACCAGACTTTTAAAAGAAAAAGCAGAAGCAGCAAAGGCACGGCCTCTGCTCATTTCTGCCTTCCAAACCTCACACTAGTGCAAAGTAATGGCTGGACTTAAATCACATCCAGAGCACATCCTGAGGTCAGGGGAGTCTGGAAAATGGGGTGTTTGGCTCTCCAGCCACTACAGTGCAGAAAGTGGCAGAAGGCAGGTGGGGTGGACACTGGGGGCAGATCTACCAAACCCATCACAAAACCCCAATACTGAGTTCTCGTCTTAAGCTCCGACAAAGAACCCATGTAGATGTAACTCTATTTGCAACCAATGAGTCTGCCATTGACCTTTCTTTATATTCCCCACATACCTGTACAATCCCTGACAGTAAGAGGTAAACTATAAATTCCAGTTGACTGAATGATTGGCTTAGAATATGCGACAATACAGAAAGGCATTTATTTTTGTTTTTCTGACTCATTGCTAGAAGTCGCTGGGAAACGGCTTTTGTCCATACAGTTGCAACACAAAATATTTGCTGTTTATCTTAATGAGACCCCAGAGGGTCTTCTGAATCATCTGAGTAACAATAAGTTACATTCGGTAGCATTGTAGATTCAAGTACATTGTACAATACGCTCATTTCTGGAAACTGATACAGGGAACCAAAACGCCCCTTTTTTTCCATTCGCTTCAGAAGACAGAGAGCTTACTGTCTTCAGGAAAGGCACACTTTCATAGCCTCTTGCCTTGAAGTCAATAATGTGCCTTCCAGAAGAGTCCCAGTAGGGATAAGCAGTCTATCTTCCCCAAGCTATCTCCTTTCTTATCTTGCATTCAGTTGTCTTGAAACTCCTCAAGTCTCTGGAGTAATCATTGTGCCTGAAACAGAGAACATCTTTGTGAGTGTTTCTCAGAGGAACAACTGACCGTCCTTCAACTACTGCTCTCAGCACCAAGACCTATTGGTTTGGATGTATAAATCCCCATGTCATACAGTGTGCCAAATACTGGCCAGAACCCACACCTCGCACAGCCCACCAGCCTGCTCAGAATTTGGGAGAGCAAGGATCATCCCGTCCTTCCCCTGCCTTCAGTCAGAACTTTGCAAAATCACTCCTGACCTACAAGAACCCCACTGTGACTTGGAAATGATATGAGATACTAAATAGCCATTTTCTTCTCAAGTATCCCTTGTTACTTCCTAAGCTACTGATTGGAAGAGAAACGTAACTAATGAAAGGTGGAAAGGTTTTGTCTCTGAAGCACCCAGGAGACCTCGTCAAGGCCCATAAAGCCCCAAGAAAATATTCCAATGATTACTGTGTTTTACTAAAAAGTGAAGGATTTAGGAGGCTGCCCTCACCCAGCAAGGTGGCACACATTGACATGAGCAGACCAGATCTCTCTCCATGAACAAAAAAGAAAGGAAATGGAGATAATTATTCTAGTAATTCAATAGCTCCCCTTCCTCCTAAATCACTGGGATAATTGCCTCAGTCTTTAGTGGAAACTAAAGTACTGTTCAGTAGCTGCTCTGGCTTGGACCTTAAGAGACTTCTTCATGGTGGAGGAGTCTCCCATCTCCACATTCCTACTGCAAACTTCATGTTCCTGGGCAATGTACATATAACCACCCTCCACTTTCTCTCCTTAAATACACTCAAATCCAAACTCTCCTGTCTAACCCAAAATTCTCGAATCTTGTCTATCAAGTAGCATCAGGACCCAGGGGCTATTGGCTAGGATGGAGGTTTATGGCTCCAAAGGAAGGTATTTAATATGCTATTATTTTTAAAAGGAATCATGGACACTTAGACACCATTTCTACTCCTTTTTATTCTTAAAAAGGGAAGAAGTGAGTAAGAGAAACCCCTCAGCATCTTGTGCTAGAATCCTTTCTGGCTCTCAAGGCAAGCCCAGCTGTGTCTTGTTGCTTTGTTACATCTGTCTGTCATGTCTTTCAAATACTTCCCCTAACGCACACCAATGGAGGTTTCTGCACATTCTTGCTTTCCTGACCTAATTTGTGCCTTGCATTCATTCTTTCTCTTAAAACTGTCTCACCCCAAGCACAAACACTCACACACACACACACACACACACACACACACACACAGAGAGAGAGAGAGGGATCCTTTGTCATGACCCCCAAACAGTCATAAAGAGAAATGACTTCAGAGCTAAACTGTGTCAATTCCATTGTAGCTCCACAATATAAAAACTGCTGAGGAAGTTCTATGCTTCAATTTCTTAATCCATAAGGATAATAATAGCATTTACCAGAAAAGGTTGTTTTTGAAGTTTCAATTATGAATGTTAATCAAGTGCTTAGAAAAAATGTCTGGCCTAAGGTGGTACTCAATGCATATTAGCTCTTATCGTTATGGGACATGGCATCTGAATAGTGTATTAAATAAGTGTATCCCCTTCCTGTCCTAACAAACAATGAAGCACTGGATTCTGGCATACCTACATCCCCCTTCAGAGGAAAGTTGTCATGAGCAGTTCTTTCTGCATGAAGGTACCACAGCTAGGGAATTCCCTGGAGGTCCAGTGGTTAGGATTCCATGCTTTCCCTGTCGAGGGCTCGGGTTCATCCCTGGTCGGGGAACTAAGATCCCACAAGCCACGTGGAGTGACCAAAAAAAAGAGAGATACTATAGCTAATGGTTACTGAGTCAAAAATGAGCGCCCAGGCCAAAGGCAATACATGTGTATGTAAGATGCACATGAGTAAGACCTGTTGCCCAGGAGATGACTTGACCTGAGATGCTCCCTACATGGAGCACTCCATATTGGGTGGTGACAACCCAGCCTGATCAGAACTTCTCTCTCCGAAACTTGGGATATAAAAGCACACAGGAAAGAAAGCAATAGGGGTCTATTTGGAAGCAGTTGAAAAGATGACCAGATCACTAATGAGGTGATCATATTCTGAATGGCAATGATTCACTAAGTTATCCATGAAGCCAGCTGAACATTGAAGCCTGGGAAGCAGAGGATCTAGGGATGGCATATGTGCTGAGATAATTTCCCACATTTTTTTCCTTTTGGTGTATGCTTGTCTTAAAACCTACCTCCTGGGCTTCCCTGGTGGCGCAGTGGTTGAGAGTCCGCCTGCCGATGCAGGGGACACGGGTTCGTGCCCCGGTCCGGGAAGATCCCACGTGCCGCGGAGCGGCTGGGCCCGTGAGCCATGGCCGCTGAGCCTGCGCGTTCGGAGCCTGTGCTCTGCAACGGGAGAGACCACAACAGTGAGAGGCCCGCGTACTGCAAAAAAAAAAAAAAAAAAAAAAAGACCCTACCTCCTAAGCAGTGATTTTCAAACTTTAGTGTTAATAAGAGCCTGTGAAATGTGTTAAAATGTAGAATCTGGGCCCTCTCCCCAGAGATTCTGGTTCAGCAGGACTGGAGTAGGGCCTCAGATAGGCCCGCTATTTGTGGCCACACGAGTTATCCCTTGCACTCCTCTGGGGACACATTCATATTGACTATGATGTGTGTGCCTCCTGAGAGTTGTGCAGTGCACAACTTGCCCAGCTAAACATGGCAGCTATCCATAATTCTCATATAAGTGGTTCCAAGTTCACACTAAGAAATATAATATTAAAGGTAACTTGGATATGTTCCATTTTTGTTATCTAAAAGAATCCAGCAAATACTAGTTCCCTGCTGACCCACCCCAAGTCCTAGTCACTGTTCATATCTACTGGGTATCTACAGTTAGGAAGGGCTGAAGCAGAGGGAAAAGGACAGGCAGAGAAAGAACCAGTGCATTTGTGTTTTGTTACATACAGAAAGCTTCAACAAGAGGCTTGATGTCTAGTCAAAATAGATGTCCCTTCTGAGTGCCACTGGCTGTGAAACAATTGGAATGAAACCAAATACAAGGAGTGCAAAATGAATTGCTTACGAAAACCTTACAATACCCCAAGGCACTAGCATCGTGCTCCCAGCTCCCTGCCCCTCATTAAAGATGTTGCTTTCCAGACCCATTAATTGGCGAGGGGCTCAGTATAGTTAGGAAATAGACTCCACAGGCCCCTGAAAGGATAACTGTGCTTCTAGAGAAAGGATTTATCATCTGTCAAATGAATTCAAGTCAACGGTTTTTTGTGGGGTTTTTTTTTTCCTTTTTTTTTTTCGGGTTTTTAATGAGCACAGTTAGGTGCTGATTGGATAAAAAAGAATTAGAAGACTCCATCCATCCCAAGCTTCCCAAGGAGACTGAGGGGAAGAGGGACACAATTCAAAGATACAAAGAAATTGGAGGACAAGGCAGAGAATATATCATCAAGTGCTAAGTTACTGACTCTGTCCATGCAATTAGAGTTCAGGAAACCAAGAGACCAGTGAGGCTACAAATGCCACAGGGAGGTCACTGAAGAATATTCCAGTGGCTACTTTCATAAACAGTAAAAATATCTGAGGTTTGAGGGAAGAAACAGACTTGCTCCTTTTCCTGTTGGCTGGCATCTCCTTTGATCCCAGCATGGGGCCTGGTCATGTTCACTTCACATACTCTGGAGCTTTTTACTCCCATTTTCCTGAGCACATCTGACTTCTGCTAGGTGCTTGCCTGGACTTCTCAGACACCTGGCCTAGGACACCTACAAGAACAACTCATCACTTGTGCAAACCTGACAGTGTGAGGGAGTTAACATCTGGGGCAGGTCCTTGGCCGGTTAGGAATGGGAGCTTGTGGGCCCCACTTGTGTCCCCTGAGTGCACAATTCTGAGATGCATTCCTCACGGCTCTCAGATGGTCCCAGAAAGATCAGGCCCCAGTCTCCCACAGCTGGGACCAAACTTGATCGTGAACTTCGTATGAATTGTCTCCACTTCTTTCTCTGTTTCCCCTCTTTCCAGTCCTCTAGTCCCATTCCCTGAGGTCACTCCCCAAACTACCTGCATACAAGCCCTTGTCTCTGGCTCTACTTTCCGGAATGAATCCTGGCTAAGACAAGCTCTGAGAAAGATGATTTCTGATTCTGGAATTCAAATATTTTATGCTTAGTTGGCAAAGAACTCTGACACAGGGCTCCTCCCCTAAGCACACTCATCTCAGGACAGTTCAAACCAAAATACATGATCTGCTTGATTTGAGGTTTTGCTAAAACTGAGATTATTTCATGAAGGCCCAGAATATGAGGAAAAGGAGCAGAGGCAGGATTTTATACTTCTGAAGTTCCTATTATGTACTATACATATTTGTATATTACTAACCATTACATAAGTCTAATGAGGTAGGTAGAATCATCCCTCATTTAGATATGAGAAAACTGTGGCTCAAAGAGAGCAGGAAGTGACAGAATCAGGATTTGAGTTCAAGTCCAGGGCCCCCCAAATCCATAGCTTGCCCATTTACCTGATGCTTTCTCCCACACACTATTTTATGCCTGGGGTTAGGTGCCTTTCTCTCAAGTGTATCAGTGCTCTTCATTAATTCTTGTTTTCAGGTTTGGAACTAGAAATCAGTGATCTGCAGCAACTGGTTGGCATTTTAATTTCACCAGGTTGAGGGATGGAGGTGGCCCTTTAAGCAACAGTGAAAGCTCAGAATTCTAGAAAGCTGCTCACGTCTGTATGCTACACCCAGGGATTGAACACCAGCCTCAGTTGGGCTCTAGAAATGCAAGACAGGTCTCTGGCTGGTAACGAACACAGAACGTGAATCAGGCCTATCATAGCCCGGGGCTCAATGCTGAGCACACAGTAGGTACACAAGAAACATTTGCCAAATTACCTATAAGCTGTCAGAGCCAAAGCTCCATTTTCCTCCAAGCACCTGCTGAAGGTAAACCACTGTGGGCCACCTAACACATTTCTGTGCCATCCACATGTGCCCACTTGTACCTTCTACACGTGAGCCCCTAGAATAATAAGGATCTAAATAAAGACATTTATTAAAGCCACACAGTAGCATTCTGAGATTGAGAAACTCCCACCCGCCTCTCTTGCGTTCACATAGCTTCTGGAGCTTTATAACTCACAGGCCTTTGAGCTGTCACCCTTTATATCGTTTCTACAGGATTAACTAGCTCCCCACTGCTTTATGTCATCCTCTGTGCTTTTCCTGACTTTGTGTTTATTTACTAATTGGCTGACTCTGGTTGTTTCTTATTGATTTCCAAGTCAACCCAAAAAAAGTGATTGAAGTGCAGTGTATTGAAAACTCGGGTCTATATCCTCACACTGCTTCTTTGGCCACGGTGACCCTGTCACATCTCTGGGAATATCTGCTCTCGCCTTGCGTCTCCCACCCTTGGTGAAGAAGGAATCAGAAGCACTAAACCCCCTAGAGTCAGCAATGCCACATTCATTTATTTGTAGTTAATGAGATATTAATGAGATACAACAACATTATTTCTACACAAGAAAAGTAGGCACTTTAATAACCGTAATCGATTTTCTTGAGCACTTGGATGCCATGGAATTAGGACTCTCTATGCAGCGTCTCTCAAACTGTGGTCCTTCAACCAGCAGCATCAGAATTTCCTAGAATAATTGTTCAGAATATAGCTTCCTGGGCTCCATCCCAGACTTAATGAATCAGAATTTGAGTTTTTTGTTTTTTACAAGGTAACAGCCAACAAGGAGATTCTCGTCACACTAAAGTTTAAGATCCCCTATGCATGGAGACCTGCATAGTCCTAAGTGCCAAGCAAAAATTTCATTGGTGCACGTCACCTCTGCCTTGTCCAGCTCAGAGCTCTCAGCCCAGTTCCGACACTGTGTCACCTAATAACTCTTTCATTCTATGCACCATTCTACGTATTGGTGGTAGTGAAAAGAAACCAAGAAGAGAAGAAAAAGCAAAGAATTACAATCCAAGAAGTTCACCTATGAGCTGAGGAGGAAATTGACCCAAGAGTAGACCATGACAAGTAAGTCACTCTAAAAACATATGTATTTCAACTATTTCCCACATCTGTGTATGGCCCTCAGTCGAAATTGGAATCCAATTTTGGTTCCAAAACCATAGTTATCCAAGAATACCTTGGAAACAGGGAAGAGTTAACCTAATAACCTAATTTTCATTGGGAATGTAGGAGTAATTTGGCTTTATATCAAAGCCATGTGTTGTAATAATAACACTACCACCTTCAGGACAATATCTCATTTAAACTCTGCATTGTTGGAGATATCAAATTACAATTTATAGACTAAGGTTAACAACAAACCAGGATTTGGTTATCTCCCCAAATAATTTCTTTCAAACACACTGAGGTCTTGGAACCAGATCAGAAGACATTCTTCAGCTATGATATAAGAAACATGCAAACTCTGACTCACAGACTGAGTTTTCCAAGACAATCCTAATCTCCAGGTATGTAGTTAATGGCCAAAAAAAAAAATATCATGATTTGCCAGAATGAAAATTAGCTCCTCTGTTTCACTGGACTTGAGTGTATAAGTTTTGTTAGCAGAAGCACCTGCCATGGATCAGGTTCTAGGAGACATATCATGTCTTAAATCACTTCCTGAATTTATTCAAATCTGCCTGTCGAAGAAAGGTTTACTCTCACACATAATGCCTTTGACCACAAATAAAGTCTCTGCCATCTGTTTTCATGCTAGAAAACACAATTTGGAATCAGTGATGAAATAAATCCTATTCACATAAATCCAAATCTTGTTCTCTTACCCTGGGATATTTCCTGCTGAAATTACAAGAAAAAGAACTTCGTTAATTAAAATGATGAAGTGTGAACATGTGTTATTCAGGAATACCAATACCTCCATCTACATTTCCAAATTATTAACATTCACATAGTCCTCAGTGTTCACGTGTTAATTAAGATTTTTAAAATCAGAGCTTCAAATATCATCATTTTATAAGGTACCACGATACACTGGAGGGTGGGAGGCGGTGTCTTAATTTTATATCTCCTTTTAGCTCTTTGCACCAAATATTTCAAGGATATTTATCACCACTAAGTATCTTATCAAAATGGGAAGACATAGAAAGGTTAGACATTAAAGAACCTGTAGGGGACTTTAAGTCTGATTAGACAAAAGAAACATCATTATCATGGTTGATAAAGGCTGATTCTGAATCCTTAAATCCCACACCATCATGACTTCTTCTCTGGACTTTTTTTTTTTTTTTTGCCTTTTGAACTCTCTATTCTCTTACTGGTGTACAGAGGTTTCATAAGATATGATATAGAAACAGGTTGAATGCAGAAAGGAATATGAGAATCTAGTGGTCTTCTAATAAGCCAGAC